AGGAAGTCCACAACCTTCTGCTCTGAGCTATTTATTACCTTTCCATTTTTTTCCTACTGAGCTTTTATTTACATTGTAATTTCATTTTTTCTCTCTTAATTCATATATTCTAACCATTTTTGTTGTTCTTGTGACCAAATTATTCTTTTTTCTGGGGCTCTATTTGAACTCATTATATAATTACTCTTCTGAGTTTACTTCTAATTATTTTTTCTCAAACAATAGTATTTTTGTATTGTGCTGTTTTCTTTCAATCACTTTTTATTTCTAGCCCTAATTTCTGGAGGGGGGGACTTTGTGCTTGGGTCAGACTCTATTCACTCCCTCATTCTTGGATGAGGTCAGGCCTTGCTTAGTACTATCCTCTCTATAATCTGGGTGCCCCTGGTTCTCCCATTCTTGACATAATGGCTAAGGATTAGGCCCCATCCTCTGCATGAATCCATGTATTCTCACTCAGCCCCTTAATTGCTGGATTCAGGTTTTATCGTTAAGTCTCTTTATACATCTTGTCTTGGTCTTCTTGTATAGACCCCAATAAGGAATTGAGAATTCCCCTTGCTATGGTCCAGACAGGTCCCAACAAGATATGACTGACAGTGCTAGTAATAGCACTGGCCTCCTGCAAAACCCCAATTGCTTTAATCAAGAGGTATTGTATTGGCTTCATCTCTTGCTGTAGCTCCAATGTGGGCTGCCTTGGCGCTTTGACCTCCACCTCCCCTGGCTTGTCTCTCCTACTGGTTTCTAGGAATCATAGTGTGAAGTCCTGTCCTGGGTAGAGGAGCTGACAGTGTTTTATCTTTAGTTTTATTTTTAATTGTTCTTTCACAGGAAATTTTAGAATGTTACTCAAACATTTGTGCGAAGACTAGACTCATCTAGGATCTTTCATGTTACCATCTTAACTGATGTCTTTCTTCCCAGCTTTTCAAAGGTCAGTCATAGTGACATTTAAAAAGATCATAAGACCTCAAATATGGCAGTTCTTTCAGTACTATAAAGCTGTGGTTTACCTGGGCCTGATGATTTGGACTCATTGAGGAAAGCTTGAGTGCTTTCTTACTATCTCCTTTCTCCAGCTCTGTTAACCATTTTTGTTCTATCCTTCTCTGTCAGAAGATCATTCTCCTTGCCAGAGAAAACAAAAGCAAAATAATAATGGAGAAGTTTCCTCATGTTATCACCCCCATCTAATAAGTAGTATAAAGTCGGTGCTGCATTCAGCTCATACCAGCTCAGAAGAGCTAATTAAAATTTTCATCATGAGTATTTATACCTCAGAAATTGGCAAACACTACAAATCAGGGCTTGGTTTATTGTTTTATTGATTTGTAGTCTTAAGAAAGTGATGGAGAAAATGTTAATGGTGATTAAATTTTAATGTGCTGTGAATTTTTTTTTTGTCCTGGAGAGCCAGTTGTTAAACATTTACCAGCAAACCACTGAATAGTCAGCCCTTCATTTTTGCCTTCATCTTTTTTGTTTTTTTGCTTCATCTTTTTAAAAAGGTGCTTTTTTTAGTCTTTATCCTTCATCAGCAGCCTTAGGCAATTTCAAAATTTAGCACTCCTAACTCTATTCTTAGCTCAGAATGTAACTTCTTATTCATGTTGTTTGTATTCTTTTTAATTATTATTATTAATATTCTTTCTCAGTTACCTGTTTTATTTCTATCTTCTATACATATCTGGGGTTTTGGTTTACTTTTTTTTTTAATCAGACCTCTGTTTTCATTGTTAAAAAGAGCTCATTTTGGCAATGTAGATAAGCATCTGCTTTGCAAATGAATAGTTTTAATCATCTTTCCTGGGTACTGAGATATAAAATGACTTGCAAACAGTCACACAGCCAATATGTGTAAGAGATGGGACTTGAACCCTAGTATTCTTTTCTCCTACGGTAGTAGTAATATGATGGCTCTCTATCACTTCAATATACTCACGTCTCTAAAGTTTTAATCTTATTTGCTAAATGAATTCCCCATACATTAATGTTGGTATTTTAAGGTAGCTCCCAATTTTATTTCTCTTGGGAAACTTTTGCAATTTATATCTTTAGAGTTTTATTGTTAGAAGTTTTCTATTACTTTTAGACTGACTTCCCCTAGAATTGCAATCCTTCATAGAGAAACTACCTAATGCAGTAGAGGTCTTCTCATTCTTTCAATATTTATTGAGTACCAGGGCACCACTTAGACCATCCATCTGATGAACCCTTCTCTTACTCCTTGATCAGCCCTCTTCCTATTTTACTCACATAACTTTGATAATGTGTTCTGTAATTTGTTGCAGCTGACTTTCACCCAATGTGAACCTTTCCACTGTCCGTTGGCTTATATGTCATTTTCATTCTTTCAGGATCATGGTATTCCAACACTTATCACCAAGTAGACTTAATGGGAAAATATTTCCAAAAGATGGGTTTTTGAGAGCAGGGAAAAGTTTGTTAACATTGAAAAGTCAGCATAATTTCACAAACATAATCCAGCATGTTCTCCTCATACTAATTTTTATTCCCAGTTCGTTATCTGTATGTAGCACTTGTTGAGGTTATACTGACTGATGGACTCAGGGGGATAGAATTACAGATAATTTGTTTTGAGCACTAATCTAGTAATATATAAAAGGAACTTACAAAATACAACTTTTTTCAGATTTCAGATGGCAGATTGTTCTATTTCAAATAAAGGGAAACTGGAGGCATGGTGGATAGTGCCCTGGACCCAGAGCCACAAAGGTTCAAATTCCAATAGCTTTGTTGCCATAGGCAAGTTACTTATCCTCTTTGAGCTATTTCACCAATATATTTTTTCATTCATGTATTGGGGTCAAAGAGGTTTAGTGTTACATTAGTACTTTGTGGTTACCTATTCCAATTTTTTTGTACTAACAGTCATTAGATAAAATGTATTTACTAAGCAAATGTATTTACTAAGATAGCAAACTAGAAATAGCAACTATAAAATATGCTCTCTCCTCAGTTAAACCAGTAGCACAATCCCTCCCCTCATGCCAAGAAACACACACATACACACACCATCTGGGAAAAAGAAGCACAAATATAGACTATAATGATAGTTAGACTCATGTGCATGGAAAACATGTGTTGAGACAATTCTCAACTCCAAATCTATGGAGCATTGAAGTCTTTTGTCTCCTCATTCAGTCCTCTCTGTGACCCAACTCTCAATTGCCAGGCCTAGCTCTTTCTTGAGTCCATAGCCAGCTCTCTTCTCTGCTTCCAGGGGTCATACTCCTTGAAGTTACTTACTCCCTCATGTTAATATTTCCTTGTGTGCACATCTTTTTAGAGTGTTATCTTCTCTCTCTATGGAACCCTAAGCATCACAAATTCTCCAAGTGCTCGATGGGGTGCTTCATTCTGGAAGAGTAAATTCATTGACCAACTCCATAGCTGATGGGAGGAGAAAAGAGAAAGAAATCACTTCCTCCCGGATCCCTGCAGGGGTCTCATTAGAATTGCTCTGAACCTTGACTTCCTCTTATTCTCTAGGGCTTAGTTATTTAACCCTCCATGGGTATGGCTAATTTGTTGAAGCCAATTATGTTGTTCTTTTCTTTTTCAATCAGAAGGTGCTTATACTTTATGAAGGTGTTATAGAAAAGTTCCTTAACACCTCCTTTACTCTCCTTCACACCTTGTTGTGAGGCTATAAGAAAAACTTTAAAACACTCTTTACATAGTAATCTTAACCTGCCTGTTTCCAAAATTTCCAACTATTTCTACCATGGCATAATTAAGTACAGTATAAAAATGGATATAACCAGTGATAAATGTTGGAATTTTGCAGGTACTAAAAGATAGAGACTAAAGCAGTATGGCATCATGAATAGTTGCACCTGGAGTCATGAAGATTTGATTGAAATCCTGCGTCTGACAGTTATTACATCACCTCTTTCTGGTACCATCAGCTACTGTTGCTGTCCCACCAAAGTTACCTTGTATCTCTTATTTGTATTATACATATATGTATATATATATATATATGTGTGTGTACATACACTTCTGTACATGTTTTCTCTGCAATTAGACTATAAGTTGCTTGAGGGCAGGAGAGGTTTCGTTTTTGTGTTCATATCTTCTACCACAGTGCCTGACACATGACAGGCATTTGATATTTGAATGATTATTAGTTGTGTGATGATTGGCAAGTCACTTAACCTGTCTGAGTCTTAGACCATTCTTCAAGAGTATTCTTATGGAGAGGTAGCAGCTTTTCTCAGTGGAATGAGTTTGTTCCTACACCTACAAGATAGTAAGTCATTGGCATAAAATCCAGAGAATGAATGCCACATTGGGGACTTTGCTTTTCCAAAATAACCACTGGTGTTTTCTGTACCATTGAACCATTTCTGATCTGGTTGTAGGGGCAGCTAGGTAGTACAGTGTATAGAGAGAGCTGGGTCTGGAGTCAGGAAGACCTAAATTTACATCCAGCCTCACACACTTACTAGCTATGTGACCCTGGACAAGTTACTTAACCTCTGTCTCAGTTTCCTCAACTGTAAAATGGAGAAAATAATAGCATGTATTTTGCAGGGTTGTTGTAAGGATCAAATGAGATAATTTGTGTAAAGTGGTTCACATAGTGCCTGGTACATAGTAGGCACTATGTAGATAAATGCTTATTCCTTCCACTTCCTTTCCCCCTGCTTCCTTATAGGAAACTGAACATGAGGGAATGCAGGCATGGAAGAATTTCCTTCAGAGTCCTCTCTCCTAGCTTTATTTTCAGTGGCAAATAAATGCAGCCTATCTAACTAAATGTCATAATCTGGGCAATGGTATTAATAAGACAGTTCTACAATTAAATATTAGTCACCTTCCTGCCAAGTTGTACTAAAGAAAGCCAGGCACTTCCTTCATGCTACAAGAAACCACTTCCCCAAGCATGTCAATGTTTTAGCATATATTTTATTTATATAATAATGCATTTTACATACTATACTGCTCTTTGGTTTCTAATAGCTTATATGTCACTCGTTCCATTGGGCCAAATGATCTTCTTCAATCTCAATGCTATCTGTTGGTAATGGTTCCATAGAAGCTGTATCTTTGAATCTTATTGAACTCTCTTCAGAATGAATCTCTGAAACAGAACCTTTTGCTGCCCAGAATTTTTTTACACTATTCCTAAAAGTAAGAAAAAAGCAGAAATTAAATCTAAGACTAAGTGGTTTTGAATTTATACTTTCTCCTACTTCTAAAATTAAAAAAAAAGCAGAAATGGTCTTGAATTTATACTTTTTCCTATCTGCCATTAGCTCTTTCATTCATTATATGTGTGTGTAGGGGAACTTAGAATGTATCTGTATGCCTATAAAGATATTAAACTAAAAATGAGAGGATTACAGATTTTAAAATAGAATGGATCATAGAGGGTATCTGGTCCCATCCCCTTGATTTGAATTTAAAGAAATAGTTTGAGAGAGGTTGTAACTTTCCCCATTTCACATAGGAAGTAAATAGCAGAGCAGGAATTTGAGCCTAGATCCTCCATCTCCAAATCCATCACTTCTCCATTGTGCTACACTTCTTTCAGAGGTGACAGAGAGGGAAAAATATCCACAAATATCTACCTAGTAAGATATCACAGAAATCAAGCAGGAGATAAATTAAAGAAAAGTAAATATCACTATTTGTTGTTCAGTTGTTTCACTTGTGTCCTACTCTTTGTCACCCCATGTAGGATTTTCTTGGCAAAGATACTGGAGTGGTTGGCCATTTCCTTCTTGAGCTCATTTTTCAGATGAGGAAACTGAGGAAAACAAAGTTAAGTGACTTTCCCAGGGTGACAGAGCTAGTAAGTGTCTGAGGCCAGATTTAAACTCAGATCTTCCTAACTATAGGCCTGGCACTCAATTCATGGCCCACCTAGGTTCCCGAATATCACTATGGTGGCCCATTAAGTCACGACACATTATATAAGAGGAGCAGCAATAATACTCATGATCTTAGGTACCTATTCACAAATAAGCATGGTATTGGTAATAGAAAAAGTGAACAACAAATCTAAAGTCAAGGAGACTGAGAGTTGGGATATTCCTCATTGCTGACATATTCCAACAAAAGGGTAGACCTCAGTCAAAAGGAGTGGAGCAGTATTATATATCCTGAGGAGATACTCATTGAGCATATCCACAAATCAGACAGATAAAGGTGGAGAGCATTTGGGCAACAATCAATATAGAGAGAAAGAGATATGGGATTGTGGTAGGAGTATAATGGACCACCCAACGAAAAGGAGAAATTGTTAGTGAGTTCCAGAAACACAGCACATAATTACAATATTGTACTGATAAGAAGCTTTAGCATTTTCTGGGATTCTACTAGAAGCAGAGTAACCAATAAAGTTTTGATTTTCCTTACTGAATATCTCATCCTTCAAAAGTTTGAGCAAGCAACTAAGGAAACTACTATTTTGGACCTAATTTTGACCAATAAGAAAGAACCAATTACTAAAATACAAATGATATGAACATTGAGAGGAAGAATCCACTCCATCTGACAGTTTTTGATAAATAGAAGCTGAGAGGGGCATCTAAGTGGTACAGTGGATAGAGCTTTAGCCTTGGAGTCAGGAGGATTTGAGTTCAAATCCGACCTCAGACACTTGACACTTACTAGCTGTGTGACCCTGGGCAAGTCACTGAACCCCAATTGCCTCGCCAAAAAGCTAAAAAAAAAATAGAAGCTGAGAATCATTTGGTATGTAACCAGGCTTTATAGAGAGTGAATGAAAGAAAAGGAAGGAAGGAAAAGAAGGAGTAGTCAGGAAACCATTATTTTAAATATACAGGGAAAGTAAGCTCAATAGAAATGGAATGTTCTTGAGAATGAAATCCTGAAAATAAACATAAGTTTCAGATGAATAGGAAAACCTAAAAATATCTAAAAAGACAGATGTGGTTGCACAGGGAACTCATCAATGAACTATTTTAAAGAGATAGATAGAAGATGAGTATGTCCTCTTAATACAAGCAAATAATTGAAGATACATACAAAGGAATGGATGATCCCACAAAGAAGAGTGCCCAGAACTAGCTGAAACCAATTATAAACAACCAAAAGGGGAGCTTTAGAGATTACATCCTTGTGGGAGAAGTGTGGCATAGTTATAGACATTATGGGATAACGGATCATGGAATTACAAGTATAGAGATAGAAGGGACCTCAGAGACAATCTAATGCAAATCCTCCATTTTATAGATGAGATAACTGAGGCTCAAGAAATTTGAGTCATTGACTCTAAATCAGGAAGTGTTTGGTTTGAGTGCTACCACTGACATATATTAATAGTGACTCTGAGAAAGTCACCAATCTCACATCATCAACAAATTCTTAAATATCTTGAACCAGATTATACCAAGACATCTCTAACTCAACGTGTTCAAAACAGAACTCAATACTTTCCTCTCAAATCCTTCCCTCTTCCAAATTTCCCTGTTACTGCCAAGGGTACCACTATCTTCCTAGTCACTCAAACTAACCACATAGGTATCATTCTTGACTCCTCTTGATTCACACTCATTCCACACATCTACTCTATTGCCAAGCTTTGTTCCTACTTTCACAACTCTCATATACATGTATTTCTCACACAGCTGCACCCTTGTGCAAGCTCTCATCAATAATATTACAATATTACAATAGCCTTCTTGTTGGTCTTCCAAATTCATCTGTCTCCAATCTAAACCATTTTCCACTCAGCTGCCAAAGTGTTTCTTTTCTTAAAAAATGCAGATCTGACCCTTACTGAATAAACTCCAGTGATTCCCTATTACCTCCAAGATCAAATATAAAATCTTCTCTTTAGCTTTTAAGACCCTTCATAATCTAGCCTCTTCCTACCTTCCAGTCTCCTTAGACTTTTCTCTCCTTTATGTACTCTTTCATCCAGAAACACTGGCCTTCTTGCTGTTCATTGCATAAGACACTTCATCTCCTGACTGTGACTTTTCACTGGCCCTCATCATGGCATGGAATGCTCTACCCTTCACCTCTGCCAGTGGCTTCCTTCAAGAGTCAGTTTGAAACGTACCTTTTGTAAGGGGCCTTTCCCAATTTATAGCCCTTCTCTTCCACCCCTCAACTCCAGTGCCTTCCTTCTAAAAATCCCTTCTACTCACACTATAGAGATTTTGTGTTTGTACACACACACATATACACAAATATTTTTTCTACACATTTTACCCCCTTTAGAATGTGAGCTCCTTGAGGGAAGGGATTATAGTATATGGTTTATTGTAAGCGATTAGTAAATGTTTGTTGACTGACAGAGTTAATAATCTAACTCTGCATTCATAGATGGAGTCAAAGATGTCACCTTACTGGGTGCTCCAAATACAAGTGAAAGCATTGGCCTGGTTCAAAAAAGAAAAAGAAAAAAGAAATTTGTGTGACATCAAAGACAGAATATGACCACTGCTTGGAGTGGATTAGACAATGGTGATAAGTGATGAAGAGAAGGCAAACTTGCCGCATTCACATTTGGCTTATGCTTCTCTCAAGGAGAATGATCTATGGTTGGTGGGAATTGAATGAAAATAGTTAATAGGGAATTAAAACTGAAAATAAGTGAGTAAAGGTAAGTTAAGAAAGTCCCTAGCTCTTCTTGATGAGTTAAGGCTAGAAGGTCCACATGAAATATATATCCCAGGATGCAGAGAGATCTGAGGATGTAATGGTTCTATTCTCATTGGTGATCTTGAAAAACTATGGAAGACAGTAAAAATGGCACAGTACTAGGGGAAGATAAATGTCTTAATTCCCAAAGATGGAAGAAGTAAGAGTATTCCAACTATCATTCGGTGAATTTTGTGACCATTTTAAAAAGGGAAGTAGATCATTATGAGAGCCAACGTGGGTTCATTAAAAATAGGCCAGACTAGGGTAAACTCACCTCTATTTTTAACAGATTCCTAGGTTAATAGAACAAAGGCATACTAAAGATGTGGCTCAATGATAGAACAACTAGGTGGGTTTAAGAATTGGTTGAATGACTAAATCTTTTATTTTATTTTATTTTTTAGGCAGTTGGGGTTAAATGACTTGCCCAGGGTCACACAGCTAGTAAGTGTCAAGCGTTTGGTCTGAGGCCAGATTTGAACTCAGGCACTCCTGACTTCAGGGCCGGTGCTCTATTCACTGCACCACCTAGATGCCCCTTGAATGACTAAATCTTAAGAATAGTGATTAAGGTTAACCTAGAGAGAGATCTCTAATAATATTAAGTGACATGTATATAGTTCTTTAATATTTGCATGGCACTTTTATGCACTATATTTGAATCCTATAATGACTCTATGAAATAAGTACTAAAGACATTATAATACCCATTTTACAGTTGACAAAACTGAGGTTCAAAGTGGATAGTGATTTGTCCATGGTCACATACCTAATAAATATCAGCAATAGGATTCAACTCATGTCTTCTTGTTCCCAAATCTATGCCACACTGCTTCTCTAACCATAACTCTCTGTATTTTTATTAGACCTGTGAGTTCATTGGTATAGGGATTTGGGGTAAGGGACTTCCTCTGCTAATGTAGATTAGTACCTGCTATCTGTGTCTTGCAATCTGAAAGTTACCTGGAACATTGAGAGATTAAGTCATTTGCCCAGGGTGACACAGATAATACATGTCAGGCAGGTCTTGAACCCAGGGCTTTCTGATTCCAAGGCTAGATCTCTATGTACTATACCATACATCATCATCATCTCTTTTTCCTCTTCTCAGAGAGAAGAAACTATCATTAAGGAATAATTGTAATTACAGAAAGATTTATTTCTCGTTTATGGTTGTTACCACTAAGAATTGTACATTTAAAATAGCAAAGCCTTGTTGTAAATGACATCGAGCAATTATTGAGTTTATCACCTTGCTTTCAAGGATGGTAATGCCTAAACAATCCTCATTAAATATATTGTCCTCTGCAAACTATACATTTGTATAGCACTTTAAAGTTTGCTAAATACTTTACATAAATTATCTGAGTTGATGCTTATAACAACCCAAAGAAGAAGGTTATATTATTGTCTCTATTTTCAGATGAGAAAAAATAAGATCAGACAAGCTAAGTGACTTGCCCAGGGTAAGCATCAGAGGTCGGTTTCAAAGTCAGATCTTCCTGACTTCTAGTCAAGTGTTCTATATACTATATACTATGGCAGGGATCTGTCCATGTCATTCAAGTAACACATGGGAGGTGTCAAACCTGCAGTCAGTGGGCCCTAGCAAAACTCAGGAGTGCAGCCCAAACCAGATTAAAATGTAATTGGAAAGTGTTTAAGAAATTAAGTAAAAACACAATACAACATAGATAATGTTAATTTGTGGTTTTCTAAGTCAATGATATCCTGCAATGATCTTTTTTCCATTTGAGGATGACACCATTGTTGTATGTTATCCATAATTTGTGTGAATGAATAGATGGCTGGCATATATATTATATTTTCTGATGACATAAATCAGGGAGAGACAGCTAACATATTGGATGACAAAATGGGAATATGAAAAGAGCTTAAGAAATTATAACTATGGGACAAAACTAATACAATTAAAATAAAAAATAAATTTAAAGAGCTATACTTATGCTTAAGAAAGCATCCACATAAGTTCCAGACAGAGAATGGCTCAGTGTTCTCACAATCGAAAAGACCTGACGATCTTATAGACTATAAGAGATGTGTGCATACATACATACATAGATATACATATATAGATATAGGTATATATACACATATGTGTGTATGTAAAATATATCTATAACACATATATGAGTAGATATATATCATATGTGTGTATATGTATGTATATAAATATGTGTTTATGTATAATGTATACATAAAAATACATACAAATGGACTATAAGATATATGTGTCAATAGTCGGATACGATAGACAAAAAAACTAATTGAGCATTAATTATAGCTTAGTGTCCAAAATGAGGGAGATAAGAGTCAGTCTTGCCGTACTTTGTTCTTGTCAGATGATGTTGGGAGGAAATAGTATGTTCACTTAAGTGCCCCATATTATAGAAAAGACATTGACAAGCTGTAGTGCTTGTGGTATGGACTGCCTTAGAAGATAAGAACAGTGAGATTATAAGATTGTAAGAACCTTGAATTCTCCATCACTGGAAGTTGTCCAATTGAGACTAATGGGCAACCTTGCAAGAGTGCTGTTGTAAGGGGATCCCTGGATAGATAGTAACTGCACTAGGTGGGATCAAGGTTCTTTCTAATTCTGAGCTTTTATGGTTCTAGTCTAACATTTTATCCAATGGAGAACACTCTTCCTCAGCCCAACTTTCCTGACAAATAGTCATTTGATCTTTCTTCACTAGTTGCAATTACAGGGACTCCACTGCTTCATTCTATTTCAGAGGCAGTGTTGTATAGAGGATAGAGATCTGAACTTTGAGTGAGGAAGACCTGGGCTCAAACCTTGCTTCAAATAGTTACTAGCTGTTTGACCCCATGAAGGTAACAGCCTCTCAGAGCCTGCATCCTCATTTGTTAAAAGGAAGTAGATTTGACCTCTCCTACCTCCTCTAGCTCTAAATATATGATCTTATGGCTCAAATTGTAAGAAGTTTCTCCTTATATTAAGTCTCTATCCACTGGAAGCTAGTTCTGCCATTTTAAGCTTCTACACACACACACACACACACACACACACACACACACACACAGAATGTAATCTAATCTTTGTTTTCCATAGCTCTTCAGCTATCTAAAGAAAATTCTTATGACCTCCTTCCCTAGAAGTGTTTTCTTTTCCAGACTATATGTCCTCAGTTTCTTTTAGTTTTCCTCAAATGGCAGGATTTAAAACTTTCTTGTAAGAATCCTTTGGATACACTCCAATTTGTTGATGTTTCTCCTCAAATATGGCCCCTGTAATTGAAAACAGTGTCCCAAATGTGTTCTGACTAGCATAGATTAAAATGGGACTTTCACATCCTTTGTTTTGGATGCCACAGTTCTTTTAACGCAGTCTTAGAGAGATTGCATTAGCTTTTTGGATGCTACATAGGGTCATAGAGGTCATAGGTCTATCACATCTATTGAGGTTAAGGAAAAGTATAGCATAGTGTGTGATAGCTTGTTGAACTTGGAATAAGGAAGACATGAATTCAAGTCATGCCTTAAACACTCATTTTCAGTGTGAGCAAGTCACAACTACTTTAAGACTTGGTTTCTAAATCTATAAAATGGGAATCATCATAGCACTTAGCTCATAGGGTTGTTTAGAGATTCAGATGAAATAATATATGTAAAGCACTTTGCTTTTGTTCAGTCATTTCAGTCATGTCTCATTCTTTGTGATCCCATTTGGGGTTTTCTTGGCAAAGATACTAAAGTGATTTTCCATTTCCTACTCCAGCTCATTTTATAGATGAGGAAACTGAGGCAAATGGGGTGAAGTGACTGGCCCAGGGTCACTCATCTGCTTGTTGTCCTTCATTCTCAAAGAGGACCAAAAATGACATCACTGTGTTAGAGTTAAGTTATAGTGTATCTGACTGTGGCATCAGACCAATATGAGCTCAGAATGCTCTACCACAGGTCGGGCACAAATAGTCCATGTGAACATTTGGGGAGGATTCTGAGGCCAGAACTGAACTCAGGTCTTCCTGACTTTGGGCTTGATGCTCTCTCTCCACTGTGCCATCTAGCTGATTGTGCAAACCTTATAGTGCTATATAAATATAAGCTATTATTATTAAGCCTGCAGTCAACCTGCATTACTAAGTCTTTTTCACATGTTTTCTACCCTATCTACTCCATCAAATATGAGTTTGGTTGATTTTGTTTTAACTCAAATGCAAGATTTTATATTTTTCCAAAGTAAATCAGCCCATTTTTCTAGCCTGCTCTTTGGGGAGCTGACTAATTTATAAGCTCCTCAAGAGCAGAAAGAATGTCTTATTTATCTTTTTATCTACCCTAGGGTTTCAAATAGCTCTTTAAAAGTTTGTCAAATGAACATATACTCTCTTTCTGTGACTTACTAGTAATAAGGATACTACAAACATTCTCATTTCAAGAAGTTGATTGACTACAATAATTAGTCCTCAGTTGAAAATGGGAAGAATCATGATTAAAGAAAGCAAAAATCCAGCTGTTCACCTACCAGTGAATAATTATGAAGACTAAAGAAAAGATCACACCGATACAAACAATAACACCAGTGATTAGGACAAATATCAGTATTATATCAGTCTGTGGTCTGCTTACTCTTCTTGCCTGTAATTCTAAAGGAAAAAAAATATATATTCAGCTATTGGTATTACTATAATCATAGCAAAAATCATATTGAAGTGTAAGTAGGGAATAAATTCTTGGAAAAAGATATTTTAAAAAGCACAGGGATGCGTCAGTAAACAGTAAATTATGTATGAATTTGCTTTACATTTGAACTCCAAAGAGAGGCATCAGAAATCAGAACAGGAAGAATAGGAAAAAATTAATCAGGGAAACATATCTTGTCTCTTTTATCTTTACTTTTTTCAATTCCAGAAAAATCAATTTGTAGGAGAGATTGAGATGATTTTTGCTCTAACTTGTCCTGACAAACTTCTATTTTCCAGTCATTATTTAGGAGCCATGACTATCTGCTTTGTGAATTATATTCAACCAATACCCATTAATCACTTTCTACATATTAGGTATTGTACTATGTGCTAGGAATATCAAGATACAGTAATAAAGTTTCTTCCTTTGAAGAGCTTACCATCTAACCCCCACTTGGGACCATAAACTCTAGGCAGAATAGAAATTTTATTTCATCATCACAGACTATAATCTTATTTATCATGAACCTTTTTGTAAAAATATTACTATGCCATGTGGCCATGAATGACACAAGGTAAAGCGTATTCTCATTAATGGGAAAATATTTACAATCCCACGTGAAGGAAGACTCTATCTGTATCCAGAGAAAGAACTGATAAATAGAAATATGAATGGAATAATTTTATGTATGTGTGTATGTATTTGTGTCTAATGGTAGCCATCTCTAGGGGAGGGAAGGGAAGAACTTAAAAAAGAAATTTACATGATAAATTTATTACATATTTAAAAGGAATAGCAAGTTGTATATATAAATTTACAGTTTCATTGCAATCATCTTTTTATTATTCTACTGTTATGGGAATGTTTGTTCTATTTCATAAATTAAAAATAAAATAAATTAAACTAAAAAAACCCAAGCAATCCTATGTCTTACTAACAGTGGTTCAGCAGTCATTTTTGTGCAGTGAAGAGAATGCTTTAAAAGACAACACCCTTAAATTTAAGATATTTAGGTTGTCTAAAGCAAGACCTGCAAAAAGAAGAAGAAGAAGAAGAAACAGAAGCACAATTTTGTGCTTCCTACACCGTATATCTAACCTTGGTCTAGTTGAATAAAAGGAGGTTTAGAGAAAGGGATAAGGGGAGGAAGAAGAAAATTACAAGGACAATTTCATGGCCATGTCTGATTTTGCTCCTCTATTATCAAAATAATAAGTGAAAATAGCATACTCTTGGAGCTTAGACATATTAGCTAAGCAGGCAAATAGCCACCTGAAAAAATAGTTTTTAGACAGACACAGGCCATGTTTCCCCAGTGTAAAGGCTTACATTCTTTAGATACAACTAACACTTTAAAGAAGACACCATGACATAGCAGCATGAGACTGATAGTCAAGATACTTGGGGTTTAGTCCAACTCTGTCATTAGTGGGCAAATAATTGGGCCTCTTCTGGATCTCATTCTATTTCCCATCCTCAGAATAAGGAAATGGGACTAGATGATTTCAAAGTTCTTTCTAGCTCTGAAAGTCTACATCTGTTCTTATAGCAGGGAAACAACAATGCTTGGTTTTGATCATGAGGTTCTCTTAAGAGGTCATGCAGTTGTCCTTTCAATCTTCTCTTTTTGAGACTAAATATGCCATAAACTAAAGATAAGTGGTACAGTGGATAGAATGCCAGACCTAGAGTCAGGAAGACTCATCATCCTGAGTTCAAACCTAGCCTCAGACCCTTACTATCTGTGTGACCCTGGGCAAGTCACTTAACCCTGTTTGCCTCAGTTTCTTATCTGTAAAATGAGCGGGAGAAGGAAATAGCAAACTATTCCAGTATCTTTGCCAAGAAAACTCCAAATGGGGTCACAAAGGGTTGGACATGACTGAAAAACTACTGAACAACAATTGAAACTCCTAAACCAATACAGAAAGAAATCTAACAGACATTTTGAAAGCGATGCCTGCCCTTTGACAGTAAGGGTTATTTAATTGTATGTCCAGTGCCTGACACACAGTAGGCACTTAACAGATTCTTGTACATTTATTGATTGAACAGTCATTGTTATATTTTCTTTTCTATCATAAAATCATAAATTTCCATTATTTTTCTCTATCACTCATTTCAGCATCTAACATCTTCACACTCAGGAGATGTTTTGTTACATACAATCTAAACCTTTCATGTCACAGATTAGGACTCTCTTCATGACTTTCCATGACAGCTCTTCAAATTCTTGAAAATATCTATCATGCTCTCCCCCAACTCCAGTTTTCTCATTTAGGCTAAATATATCCAGTTTCTTCAACCAATTCTCATATGACAGGGACTCAAGACTCTACCCCATCCTGGATGTTCTCTAGATACTCTAACTTGTCATTGTCCTTAAATAGTGGCACCCAGAACTGAACACAGCACTTTAGACATGGTGTGGTCAGAGTAAGTACAGAGACACCATCACCTTTTTAGTCTCCAAAGCAACGATTCTTTTAATGTAGCTCAAAATAACATTAACTTTTTGACTACCACATCATGCCACTCATTAATATTGAGCTTACAGGTCAACCAAAAGCCTCAGATTTTTTTCAAACATGATAGATCATAGAATCTTATACAGGGTGTCCCAAAAAAAATCTTAATGCAGTTTTAAGCTTTAGTAGATTAAACTGCACTGAGACTTTTTGGGAAACTCTGTTTTTAGAGCTACAAAGGACCATATAAGTCATTGCGACTGACTGACTGACCCCTTCTGTTACAGATATGAAACCTAAATAACTTCTAGAGAGGTTAACTGACTTGCCTAGGGTCACATATGAGTGTCTGAAATGATTTTTAACTCAGATCTTTCTAACTCTAAGTTGAATGCTCCATCCACTACACCATGCTGCCTCTAATGATTTGTGTGTATGTGTATGATTACATGTATATGTATACATGCATATGTATATGCATATCTTTCTCTTTTTCTACATATACGAGAGAGAGAGAGAGAGAGAGAAAGAGAGAGAGAGAGAGAGAGAATGAAAAAGTGATGAGTGATATTTTTTGATGGTGGCATTGGATTCACCTTCTGGATCAAGTTACTATGTTCTATCATATTGTGTGTATATTTCCAGCTAAAACATCTATTTAATAAATAGACCATTAAAATGATCACACTTTGGTACTATGTCCAACTGTCATTTTTTTTAAAAGACATGTTTCTGCTACTTAAGCATTTGAGCAGTTTGTCATAACAAGAATGAATTTGTCTAGTGTTATGGCTGCCAGAGGATACACTCCACTGAACTGAATTATCTATCTAGATTAACTTATTGAAAATACCCCAAGGATTGAGGCCTTCACCATAGGTAACCAGAGAATGAGACAAAGACATGTAAGTGCAAAGGCAGGAGCCAAATGATAATCAAGTGAGCTCATGGTTAGAAGTCAACACCAACTAGGGTAGGCTTGATTTTTAATCCATTATTCATTTCCACCATGGAATGTTGTGATTTGAAGCAGGTTTTCTGTAATAATACACATTTATTTAGCTCTTTAGCTATATCATTGCTTGACCTATATACCAAAGAGATTGAGGAAATGGGAAAATTATATGTATGGAGTGTTTATGGTAGCTCTTTTTGTGTTAGCAAAAGCCTGAAAGCTGGAAGGAGGGGTGGATGCTCATCAGTTATGAATGGCTGAATAAGTTGTGGTACATGAATGTGAATGTGTCATTGTACTTTAAGGAAATAGATAATTTCAGAGAGACGTTGAAACATTTGTATAAATTGGTATGCAGAGTGTGGCAAATAGAACCTGAAGAATAATCTCTACTATAGCATCAAAATTACTAAAATGAACAATTTGCAATACTTTCATAAGCTGATGAAGAATAAAATGAGCAGAACCAGGAGAACAATTTATATACAACAATACTGCAGAGACAACTTTGAAAGTTCTAAGATCTATGATCAAAACAATGACCATCCACAATTCCAGAACACTAATGATGAAGCAAACTATATACCTCCTGAGAGAAAGGTGGTAGATTTAGGGTATAAAATTATGTGTGCGAGCACATGCATATGTATATGTATTCATATATAAAAATATGTGTACATACATATATTTATTCACATGTGTATGTATATATAATGTGTGTGTATATTGTGTGTGCATATACACATGCATTTGTATGTGTATGTATTTATATATACATATATATACATACACATATATTTGTCTAGAACCATTGAAGGAATTTGTTTTGCTTGACTATGCATGTTTTTATAAGGAATTTGTATTCCTTTTCTTGTTTTCCCAAAGGGGTAGGAGGGTGAGAGAGAGGAAACAGATTTCTGTTAATCTAAAAAGCAATTTTAAAAAACAGAAAGTTTCAGATGTTGAATGTTGTGTACACTTTCCAATGAGTTTACTGTACTACTGGTTATATTTAATTGTTTTACTTTGTTACAAAAGATCTCTAATGGATTGGGGTAATCTATAAAGGTTTATAATATAAAAACAAAAGTCATCAATAAAACTAAAAAAAAAAGAGAGATTTATAAAGCAATTTCCACAAAACAATCCTGAGACAGGTGATACAATAATGATTATCCCCATTGCAGAGATGAGTAAACTGACACTTGGAGAGTTTAAGTGATGTGCCTGTAGTCACATAGCATTAGAGAAAGTGTGGCAGCTAATATTGAATGAAAAAAAAAGTTAAAGATCTGTTGACACTTCCCAGTCTGTCCATACTCTGAATCTCATTTGTGTCTATGGACTTGTGGTCATCCAACATCTGCTTACATCTTCAATAAAATGAGATCCCAACACAATACAATACACATTAAGTATCTGCTATTACAGGCACTGTGCTAAGCACTAGGGATATAAATAAGAAAAAGAAAGACAATCCCTTGACTTCAAAGACCTTATAATCTAATGGGTAAAGAGCATGCACAAAAAAGCTTAAAGGGGGACAGGGATGGAAAGAATAGCCAAGGGGTATAATTATGGAGGAGTTGAAACCAAGCAACAACATTTGTGGGAAATGAAGAGTTGACTGGGTTTCTAAGTTCTCTTTAAAGACAGTCATTAGGAGGAGTATTTTGCTCTGCTTTTCAGCCCTCCAATCAGAGGGGCAGAGGCAACTGAGAGTACTGATAAGATGTAAGAACCAAAGCTAAAGCAGCCTCCATGTTGATTGGTTTTCTGGTGACATATATACACTGCTGGAGGTGGAGGTAGGGGATATGATGATGGTGGATTCAAAACCACAGTACAGCTGGTGGGAAAGGAATGTCCCTCGAGAACACAAGCTGGTTTTGGTTTTGTCACAGTATCCTCAGAGCTGGGGATATAGGTCAATAAATGCTCATTGGATTGCTACTGGATTGTATGCTTGTACTCATCAGCCATTCAGATCCTTACATGTATTATACAAAAGTACTGCCAGAGATTAACATCCCCCTTTCAACAGCAGTTATTCATTCAGTAATCAATGGGCAATAGCACCATAACCTCTCCATTTTGAGGGGAAGTTGGACAGAATGAGTTGATCGATAGCATATATGTTTAATTTATAAGTAAATAAATATGCATGAATTGAGGGTGTGTGCTCAATTTTTTTCAAATGGGATACACAATAAGAAATAATTTGTAGATCGTGACTTGAGGGAACTCCCAGAGAGGCAACTCTCACTACTAATATAAGTTGATAATTTAAAATTTTAGAGAGTTGCTTAGGCACTAAAAGGTGAAGTGATTAACCCAGGGTCACACAGTAAGAATTTGTGAGAGGTAAGGTTTGAACCTAGGCCCTCCTAATTCTGAAGTAAATCACTGTGTCTAGGAAGATAAGTTGCCCTTTCAAATGCACATTTTTTTAATCACAGAAAATAATCAACCTTAAGAACATGGAGGTATATATATTTGGAATAAGTCAAAATTCATATTACAATGAAGATTCAGAGCCACTGGTGGACTGTAATAAATAAAAGATATAATTTTCAAGGGCAAGGGGTGCAACATCCAAATGTTGGGGTCTTGCCCCGCCAACTCTGTAAATGTCTTTTATTAAAGTATAGGTTCATAGATAACTTTATAGATTACTAAGAGTTGGAAGAAACCATACAGGTGATCTGTTCAAGCCTTTCACTTAACAGGGGGAAAAATTGATGTCCAGATAGTTGAAATGACTTCCCCAAAGTCATATAATTAACAAATGGCAGAACTAGTCCTTGAACCTGGGTCTTCTGATTCAGCAATTTTATGGCTGTTAACTGCATTTTATCTTGTGGTCCTGGTGATTCTCTTTGGGAACTAGTAAATAACATGTCAAAATAGAGTATTAGAACAATTGATTCAGAATACCATCATGGACTGCCACTGGAAGAGTCAGTTTGTTAATGAGACAATTCCCACAAGAAACAAAATTTGAGTCTTTGATAGTTATAGGACAAAACCAAATGAAAATTTTTTTTTCTTTTTCCTCAAACTCCTTCATTTACTAGGTCACAAAACTGAAGAATATCAGTGTTGGAAAGGACCTCAAAGGCTATACAGTCCAACCCATAACTAAAAAGAATCCCCAATACAACATGCCCAACAAGTAATCATCCAGTTTGGCCTTGAAGATCTGGAAGAAGGAAGGAAGGAAGGAAGGAAGGAAGGATGTATTAAACACTTATGTGCAAAACACTGTGCTAAATGCTAGGGGATGTAGAAAAGCAAGACAGTTCCTATTCTCAAGGAGCTCACATTCTAGTGGGGAAAATGGAACATAAGGAAGGCTTAGGCTGCAAGTTAGATGGAAGAGTCCCATAGTCTTTATGGTATGCTGGCAAAGTAGGTGTTAATTCCTCTTCTTTAATGTCATTTCCACTTAAAAAATATCATTTTCTAACATTGAACCATTTGACAGTACCAAGGTCAAGGTAAGAACTGTCTTTTGGGGTGTCTTTAAAAGATGTGGCTGTAGCTCCTGTAAGAACAGTTGCCAGGTTGCATCTCCACAGTGGTTGCTTTCCAGAATGATGGCTACAGGAATTGGGTTGGAAGCACTGGTATTCCTGAGGTTCTTGGATTTGTCTTCCTGGGCTATCTCCATCAGAACATGAGGTGAGATGAGGATCCAGGTGGTGGTGGTGGTGGTTTGACTTGCTTGGCACACATGCTTCTGTGTCTCTCAAGGTGCCTTGCTGCTTCAGTTAGGCTGGCTTGCCTACCCTGTGGGTAGCAGTCGGTTGACAGCTGCCAAGGATGTCTAGCCCTTCTCCCTATGAGTTGCTTTTCCAGATGATGGCTTTCAGGGCTTAACTGGAAGCAAGACTGATGATATGGAAGATATGGAAGATTCTTAGGATTCCTGTGCCTATCATTGAAATGGAACCTACTGCTCCCAAAGTAATCCGTTCCACTTAAAGACCACCATCATGTTTCCCCATCTTAATCATAATATACATATAGATACCCATATTCTCATTGGTTCCTTTTTTCTTTATATCACAATCATTTTACCCACACTATCCAGATACCCCACATTGAACTCTGCACCTTGTAACAAATAAGGACAATTTAGAAAAAACATCTAATACTGAAACTTTGTCTGAAAGTATAAACACTATTCTGTCCAATAGTCTCCCCTCCTCCCAGTCCAACAGTAGATAGGCAATGGTATGCTGGGGGGGAATGTACAAATGAAAAACTTTTACGTTTAATCTGTATTATTAACATTTTATCCATCATTTCTTAAGTTTACACAATCAATAAAACATTAAATCCTGTCCTGATTTGAAGCATTTGCCTATTTCAGAAATGTAAATGCTCATGCCAAAAACACAACATGAGAGCAGCACACCCTTAGAGGAAATCTATGTTTTTATTTCTCCTCCAGGTCTTTCATTGTTTTTTCCATTACTCCAAATGCAGCTTCCTTTTCTTGATCTTTTTATTTGCACTATTACAATTTAAGTTAAGAATCCTTAACCATTTTTGTGTGATGGCCTCTTTCTCAAATAATATTTTTAAATGTATAAAATAAAATAAATAAAATTACAAATGAAACTAATTAGAATAAAATATAGCTAACAAACTTATTTAAAAAATAGGTTTATGGACTACATGATAAGAACTCCTGGCCAAGTCTTCTTCAGTCTAAGCATTCCCAGGTTCCTTCCATCAATCCTCATTGGCATGATCTTAAGTGATTCACTATCATGGTCGCCCTGCTCTGCATGCCCTCCTGCTTATAAATGTCTTTCCTATCAGCACCCAAAATTGAACACAAAACTCCTGATGCGGTCTGACTAGGCCAAAATACAAACGGACCTATCACTTCTTTATTCCTGGACACTTATCCTTTCATAAATTAGAGGTAGCTAAGTGACCCAATGCAAAATGACCTAGTGGCACTGGGCCAGAAGTCAGGAAGACCTGAGTTCAAATTTGACCTCAAATACTAGCCATGTAACCCTGAGCCAGTCACTTAGCCTCTGTTTGCCTCAGCTTCCTCAACTGCAAAATGGGTATTATAATAATAATAATAATACCTACCTCTCAGGGTTGTTGGGAGGATCAAATGAGATAATATTTGTAAAAAGTGCTTAGCACAGTGCTCGCTTCAGCAGCACATACACTAAAATTGGAATGATACAGAGATTAGCATGGATCCTGTGCAAGGATGACAGGCAAATTCGTGAAGTGTTCCATATTTTTTTGTTTGTTTTTTTTTCTTTCTCGTGGTTTTTCCCTTTTGTTCTAATTCTTCTTTCACAACATGACTAATGTGGAAATATGTTTAATATGACTGTACATGTATAACCTATATCAGATTGCATGCCATCTTGGGGAGTGGGGAGTGGGGAGGGGGAAGGGAAGGAAAGGGGAAAATTTAGAACTCAAAATCTTATAAAAGTGAATGTTGAAAACTAAAAATTAAAAAAAAAATTTTAAAAAGATAACATCCTGGGAAAAAAAAAAAACAGATGGAGGCTACTGAGAAACTGGAAAACCACCCCCAGGCTCTCAAAGTTAGAACCCTGAAAAGAACAGTAAGCCACCCTCTGGGGTCCCAGACCACCCATGCAAGTGGGAGTTGAGGAAAGTAGTCCAGAGGGAGCCATATACATTAATGGGGACGTGATTTGACCTGCAGTCAAACTGAGTTATTGCCTCGCATAGTGACCTATGCACAGACACTATTTAACATATGTTTGTTATTCTTTTCTTAACCTTAAAGTGCTGTTGATATACGTTATTATTAATGATCATAAATCTATGGCGTTATAACAAGACTTTGCTTCAAGACTAGTGAGTCTCTGCCTTTAACCTTGATTTTGTAAGAAGGTTTAACCACTTCTGCTCACTTTCCATTGTCCAATTACCCTTCAGCTTCCTCCACCGCCACACCAGCTGCCTGGTCTCCTGAGGACAATGATAATGCACCTGAACTCGTGTGATTGGCATACTCCTACTGCATTATACCATCCCCATCCCAGAGATTCTGAACCCTTGCTTATCACTATATAAACTCCATTCCCCGCACCTAAATATCTGCTCCTTTATTCTCATCTCCATTAATCCGACCCCTTCCCGACATCCTGCTGAAGATCTGCCCACTCCTTCTACTATGCTCTCTAGAACGACTGCCCTATAGGTAATCAATTTGCTTTCATCTTAAACCCTTTCCTTTCTCACTCCTTCCATCTTCTTGCAGTCATCTGGCACCCTCTTGATTAATGTCACATTGCCGGCCAACATTTGTGCACTGGTTACATTTCGGTGGAGGAACTGGAAGATTCCTTGCTCTCCATTTCTACTTGCAGACTAGCCTTCTACCACCATCATTCAATAACCTCTTCTCCTTTGAGGTTTATTTAAACAATGTTATCCCCAATAAAGATTCTGGTAGCTGTTATCTACAGATATATTTCAATGAGTTCAGTGCTTGGCTCATAGACTTTCACTGTCCCTAATTCCTACCCTCATATTGGGAAACTCCAACATATATATAGATACTGCTTTGAACACCCTAACTTCTCAATTCTTCAACTTACTCATTTCCCATGACCTACTCCTCTACATATCTCAGCTACAGACAAATGGCCATGTCCTTGATCTTGCCATCACCTAGAACTGTTTCGCATCCCTGTTCATGAACTCTGAAATTCCTTTGTCTGATCATAATCTTTTGTCATTCCATCTTTCCCATGGCCTTATAACCCCTAACCCTATTCTCAATAAAAAAAATGTGCTTAGCACAATGCCTGGCACATTGTAGGTACTTCATTAATGCCTGTTTCCTTCCCCTTCTATATCATAAATCAGCTGATTACACTGTTTCTTGGCTGCCATATCACACTAATAATTTTCAATGAATACAAGTTTTATTATTGGTTTCCAAAAAAAAACCCAGATCTTTTTCTTTAGATGAACTTCTTATTATCCATGCCTCTCTTATCTTGTTCCTGTACTTGTGATATTGATTTTTCAAACACATGAATAAAACTTTATTGCTCAATTTTACTATTCAATAAGATCATACCACTCAAGCTGTCATTCATAAGTATATCAATAGGTTGGGAGGAAACTTTAAAGATGCTAATAGAAGAAAGGTCCCAGTAGCAAACATTCTTTAAGAAAGAAAAAGGAGAGTTGACAATTTTTTTTCTGTAGCCTCCTTTTTAAACATATGTAATTTAAAGAGAAGTCAATGTGGGAATTAGTTTTGCTAAACTATACATATTTGTTACGAGGATTTTTTTCCCCATTAGGGTAGAGGGGTAGATTTCTATTCATCCAAAAAATAAATTTTAGTGAAAAGAAACACAAAAAAATGAAGGATGTCTTGAAGAGAGAGAGAAAGAGACACAGAGAGAGAGAGAGAGAGACAGAGAGAGACAGAGAGTTATAGTACATAGAGCAGAATCAGAAACAAAATCCAGACCTTCTAATTACTGGTTCATTGCTCTAACTATAAACCTATATAGACCACACTGAATGATATCAGTTCTTGAAAGGAACAGGATGGGGAAGACATAAGGAAAATCTCACCCTGCTCAAGTAGACAACTGAAATCAAGACATGGCAAATCAGGCAGAAAAAAAAAATCAAAAAGATAGACAATGTACTTAAAGAATAGAATGAATTCAAAGAGTGGGAAATTAGACAAAATAAAACTGATTTAAAAGGCAGACAATGCCTACCTATATCCTCCTCTGTCTTTCTGGTTGACTATCTAGTTCAAAGGATCTTGAAGACCCCTGGGAGGCTCCGAGTTTGATACGTCTGATCTATATTATAAATAGATGAGATAACACCTGGAACTACAGTCTAAAAGTTCAGGGACCTCTCTCTTTCTATGGTGGAAAGAAAGGTTTTATGGCCCTGAAATTAAGTAGGCCCCAGCAGGAGGCAACAGAAGGGACCCAGCAAGGAACAATTTAATAGAGACAACAGCAGATGGCAGTACTATACATCAGAGAAATCTGACCATCAGAGAAACTCAACAGTTTACAGCAGCCCACTGACATCACCAGACCAGCAGATGACATCAGTGGTTCAGTGGAGAAGCAAGCAGCGACATCTGCAGCAAAGAGGGATTCCAAAGGGTTCACAGACCTAGAAGTGTGAATTGTCCTGGTTGTGTATATCCCTTAACTATTATATGCCCTCTCCCAAATGTTTCACTCTAGTCATATGTATTTTTATACTTGTGTTGCCTCTTCTACCTATAGTTTTAGAATCTTTGTGTGGTACACCCTTATGTTTGTAAGTATAGGGAAAAAGGAATATTCCTTGTCTTTTATTTTTGCTATGCAGATGAATTAAGTGGCATTTACTTTGCACTGGGGAAATCTTCTAGTTCATCTGATAAATGAAATATTAGTGAGAGCTTGTGAGCTGTGATGTTGAGTATATACTGAAACTGGATAGCTTTCAGAGAGTCCACAACTAAGGGGTCCTGGTTTACATAAGGAACATATCAATTTCGTGAAGTGAGGTTCATCAGAATCCACTTTAAAATATAGAAATTATTGAGTCAACTGCTCTAAGAACAATCCAAATAATAGATGCAAACCAAAGACTGCTTAAAACTTACCTTCCGTGGTATATACAGTATACTTTACAGAGGCAACTATTTCATTGTTTTCTGTTGTGTCACACTGGAATGCTTCAGGGTGAGTTTCCCGGTGTACTTCAAGGATAGCTGTGTCATGGGGAAGAATGAGTGCTTGCTATTAAAAAAATAAAAAACAATAAAATGGAACATTTTTATGTATGCTTGGAAGAGAGAGCAATTTTAGTCAACTAAAGAGTGGCCATTTTCTTTGGTTATTCTATTCAAATAAGATTCAATAAGGTTTCTTTCTGAAATAGAGTACTTTTTTTTTAATGAAGCTATAGTATACTGATAATAGCTAAGGGAGTGAACGAGCACAGACTAGAAAAATTCTGAGTATGATAATAAAATTGCATTTGTTATTCCTTTTTAAAAAACAGCTTTTGTAGAGAAAGTTAATCTACAGTCATTAGACCTGGTAACCAAATGAACTGTTATACTATAAAACACCAAATTATATGGATTGACTGCTCACCTCGTCTGTAATAAGCATTTTCCATATATACCTGAAACGATTCTCTGGTGGTACATAAATACAACCAAGCTTCACCGTAGAAAGGCTTTCTGAAATTGGTCTCCTCCCTAAAGGAAGAAAAATTTAGTCAATATATAAAAATCTTGTGTTCTGTGAACATCATAAGTTGCTATATAAAAATATTTCAAAACACTTTTGACAAACATACATATATATATGTAGCTAAGCTTAGAGAAATAGATAGATAGATAGATAGATAGATAGATAGATAGATAGATAGATAGATGGAAGGACAGATGGATATGTGGATGTAAAACAGGGGTACCCAACCCTGCTGTGGGAAAAAAAGATTTCTTCATTTCCCTAAAGTTCTGAGATCACCAGGGATCAGTGGATAGAGATTCAAGTGTCATATGCCCACAGCAAAAGCTCTATGCCTGGTGAGGAAAAGGCTTTATTTTTGGTTGTACTCTGAGAATCCCAACCAACTTTAGAGAGGAAGATATAACAACAGCAACTAGCTTAGTGTTACCAAGTAAGACTTTAATGTATATTATTAGATCCCAGATTGAGTGTCTGGGGACTACTATTATACACCAAAACAGTGATGTAGAACAATATGGTGCAGAGCAGGTTTCAGTCTACGGTGGAGCCCTCAAATACCTAATCTCTTTCTTACTGATGTATTGAAACCTTCTCATTGTAAGGGAACCTGACCTGTAAAGCCATTTAACAATAAGGTTTATTTCTGAAATAGAGCTTTTTTATAAAACAAAGTTATTGCATTCTGATAATAGAATTGTTGTGCCCTGGACTCTGAGGAAAGGGTTGTGACAATACACTATTGTATTATTTAGAATATCTTTAATATTGCAAGCACGTGTGAATTCCTGAAACAAGATAAGAAACAGAGCTAACCTAATTTATAGGCTACTCTAGGGTAGAATGACATCTTAAATATTACTATGATTCTCCTATTCTAGGTAATTTTTTTCAAATTTTTTTTTTATTATGAACTTAATAAAAATGAATATTTGTATATCAAAAGAACAGAAATTGAATATATAAATGTGTATACATATACATGGGTATATGTATATATGTATGTGCACATATGTATATTACTATACATACATATAAGTATACTTGTATTTATTGTTGTTGCTCAGTCATTTTCAGTCATGTCTAACTCTTCATGACTCCATTTGCAGTTTTCCTGGCAAAGATATTGGAGAAGTTTGACAGTTCCTTCTCCAGCTCATTTTACAGATAAGAGAACTGAGATAAACAGGGTTAAGTGACTCACCCAGAATCATACAGCTAGTAGGTGTCTGAGGTCAGATTTGAACTCAAGAAGATAGCCTTCCTGACTCCAGGCCCACTATTCTATCCACTGCTCCACTTCCCTGCCAATACATATGTGTGTATATGTATGTATGTGTGTGTGGAGAGAGAGAGAGAGAGAGAGAGAGACAGAGAGAGACAGAGAAAGAGACAGAGATCAGTGTCAGATTTTATATTCTTGGGCTCAAATATCACTGCAGATGGCAACTGAATGAAATTAGAAGATGTTTTCTCCTTAGAAGGAAAGCTATGACAAATCTAGACAGCGTACTAAAAAGCAGAGATATCACCTTGCTGATTCCATATAGTCAAAGCTATATAAAAATATACTACTTTTCCAGTAATAATGTATGACTGTGAAAGTTAGACTATAAGGAAAACTGAGCACCACAGAATTTACCCTTTTGAATTGTGGGGCTAGAGAACACTTTTGGGAGTCTCTTGGACAGCAAGGAGATCAAATCAGTCAATACTTAAAGAAATTAATTCAGATTTTTTGGAGGGACAAATACTGAAGCTGAAACTTAAACACTTTGGCCACATAATGAGAAGACAAAACTCATTGGAAAAGATGTTGATGTTGGGAAAAACTAAAGGCAAAAGGAGAAGGGGATAGCAGAGAATGAGATGGATAGTGTCATGGAAGCAACGAACATTAGCTTGGACAGACTTTAGGAGATAGTGAAGGACAGAAGGGTCTAGCATACTATGTCCATGAAGTCACAAAGAGTCAAACATGATTCAGTGACTGAACAACCAAAAATGGAGAGGGAAAGGGGGGAGAAAGAAAGAGAGAGAGAGAGAGAGAGAGAGAGAGAGAGAGAGAGAGAGA